AAATTCGTGACGTGTTTTCTAAAAGTTTAAACTGTTTTAACTTTGCATGGCTTTCTATACATCTCTTCTGTGAGATGCGAGTGCAGCAGTCATATTTGTCCGTCTAAAAAATGCACTGTGAATGGCTTGTTTTTTTTATTTTAACCCATTCAAGATCTTCTCCGCATTGAGCTTCTATATTTCTCTAATATTTTGAATGAATAACGCAGCAGCGGCGCGTCTCGTGGTCTAGACTAACAAAACATTCAAATGCAACAACTTCACTTACATCATCACCGCATCTCGCGCGCCACTGATGACGCTCCCTGATGCACACCTAACATTCAAATGCAAATGTTTATTTTAAATTCGACTAATATTCATTCTTTATTCACAATCTCCTCATCACAGGCACGCACAGCACTCATTTCAGCATGTGTTTGTGTTTGTGTGTGCTGTCTGCATCACTCATAGCACGTGCCTATATCCTGCACTATATCGAACGATTTTTCTATCGATATCGAAGAAGGTGTACCGTCGATAAATATCGATACCGTTTTATCGCCCAGGCCTACGTAAAATGTACTTTTCTATTTTGCTGCAATTTATCTGTTGATGAGGGTTTTTAGCGCACTAGACAATCAGTCAGCAAGTCCTGGACAAAAGTATCTTGATTTCTACACAAATATTATTTTCTATTAATAATATTAACTGTTTTCAACATTAATAATAATAATAAATATTTTTTGATCAGCAAATCAGCATATTAGAATGATTTCTGAAGGATTATTTGACACTGAAGACTGGAGTAATGATGCTGAAAATTCAGCTTTGATCGCAGGAATAAATGACATTTTAAAATATTTTATAAGAAAACAGGTTTTTTAAATTGTAATATTTCACATTATTATTACTATTATTATCATTCATGTATTTATTTTACTGTTTTTGATCAAATAAATGCTGCATTTGTGTTTTTCTTTCAAAAGCATAAAAAAAATCTTACCAACCACAAACTTTTAAACGCTAATGTAGATGTTATATTAATAATTATTGTATAAATATTTTTGATAGCAGTTATAAATACTACTCTTATCAAAAGTGAAATGACTGGAGTTACCAAATGGAATTGCAAAATGTTTTCTGAGCCCTCTTGCCATTGGTGAGACAAACATATAGTCCCGCCCCAAACTCATTGGTTGAGTTGTTGCTGTGTCGAGTGGGTTGAACGCTCAAACAAACAGGGCAAAACATTTTTGAAATCATTGATGTTTACTCTTTTCAGGAGAATTAACCTACAAATGACTTGGATTTAATTGTTTTCTCTGCTTATTCAGTTTGGACAAGAGAAAGTTCTTTAATATCGAATAGAATTACACACTTCACCTTTAAATGCCTAAAATGAATGCAAAGAAATGTCTTGTTGATTTCACTTAATTAGTTGCACAACTGGTTGACTCTGATGCGTTCCCATTCCTAATTAGCATTGTTTATTATTCACTTTGAAACAGTTGAATAGAGAGTTCACAGAACTAACGTTTTTCTCTCTTTTCTTACAGACTCATGGATCAGCTACTATGACATTGTACAATATTTCCCAGACTTTCCTCAAACACATAGTCTGTCACTGGTCAGCTAGCTGCCAATGGACCCGTTCCCTCGCCGTGTCCCACAAACTTTACCCCTGTAGGGGTCTATCGACGGACGGCTCCGCTCCTCGGCTGCGGATTAGTGAAGACTCAATAGAAGTTTTCAGCCATGTCTACCCGCGAGATGACATGACCAATGTGACAGCTAAAATCTTATCCAAAGTTGGCAGCCAGCTTCACAACTGGCCGCACCACCCCTTGTGGCTTATTAAAGAACGCATCAAAGACCATTTCTACCGCTCCTACATCGGACGCACGGGAAACCCGCTCTTCTCCGTACATGACAACCTCAGCCCGGTGGTGACGGTGGAGCAGAACTTCGACAGTCTGCTCATTCCTCCAGACCATCCCAGTCGGAAAAAAGGAGACAATTACTACCTGAACTGCACACACATGCTGCGGGCCCACACCTCTGCCCATCAGAAGGAGCTGGTGCGTTCAGGTCTGGACCGCTTCCTGCTGGCTGGAGATGTGTATAGACGAGACGAGATCGATTCCAACCACTATCCTGTCTTCCATCAGATGGAGGGAGTGCGGCTTTTCTCAAACCATGAGGTGAGAATGGTGTCCTTAATGAGGAAAAGGACCGCCTGGCCAAAAAAAAGTCAACTAATTAAAAAATTGGCATATTTATAGCTGACTTGACATGGAAGTTCATTTCATCTCTTCTCTTAATGCATCTTATTGTGGAAGATTCATCCATGAATATTTAATGACATTTTTTTGAGGCTGTAATTTCTCAATCTTTCTGCGAAACAACAGAATTCTATGTGGTGACATGCGGGTCTTAACTAATAATAAAATAACTAATACAAATAAAATAATAATAATAAATATTAATATATTAATATAATAACCCTTATAACACATTTGGGTCTGTTTTGACCTGGAAAAGATACATTTCTAAAAAACGCATAGTTTTTAGTAAGGGAATGAAACTTTGCAAATGTTTTAAGAACCACAGAATAAACATAATTTATATTTTTCATTGATTTATTTTTTTACATTATTTTAAAAAAATACAACATTTGCTTATTTTAAAAATTTTTTCCCAGGTGTAGATGTATGAATGGAGTACAATTATGTGTCAAAAATGCTTATCTATTAAGTTATATTAAAAAAAAAACGTTTTGTGTTAAAAAAAAAAACGTATATAAACTTATATATATATACACTTTTGAGACTGAATTTTTTTCCTGTTGACGAACCATTGCAGCATGCGAATTTAATAATTTTTTCCATCTGAACGTAAAATGAATGTATTTTGTTTGATAACTTTTCAGAGTAATATTTGTGTTGTTTTGATGTTGTTTTGTTAGAAATACAAATGTTGGTTTCATAAATTTGGAGTGTTTTTGAGAAGTCATGAGTTATAAAGACAAAGGAATTTAATTAAATTTCATTCATTCCAATGGGGTTAATACTGATAATTCTGATGAAAACTGATAATTCTCATATTATATTATTATATGATATGAATTTTATGCAGTGATATGTTCTCATCACATCACATCATTTGTAATTTGAAATTTCAAAAAATTCCTGTTTTTTTAATGAATAAAAAAGGGGCTAAATGCAGTAATAATATGGTAACAACAAGGTAACATTCTTTTTTTTCATATTTTCTCATTAATGAGAATTTTCTAATAAGATATATTCTGCTTAAAGCATAATAATAAAGTTATAACTGTTTTACAAAATAATGATTCTTGAACAATGAATGCGAAAATAGTATGCAGACTTTTTTTTATACATTATGAGGGTTAATGTGTTAATATTAATAATGGCAATAAATACTATTACCACTACTACTGCTTTTTTTTTTTGTCCATTTTCCAGAAAAAGAAAAATAACCGTTGGATGGTTTCAATAACCTTCAGGTTTAAGACTTGAATTAAATTAAGTGAATTTAATTAAGTTTGTTGTTGTGTTGTTGATTTGAAGAATTGTTTTTCTTAGATAGAAGAAAGTATTTAAGCATCAAAACTTCACCTTTCAAGCAGTCCTCTATAGTTCATACTGTACCTGCCAGAACTCCCTACTTATCTGTGTAGAAAAAGCTGTTAATTTAAAGCATCCAGACTGTAATGAAGAGGCTGTTCAAGGACAAGTGTCAAAGAAGTCATGATGAAATCTTACCGTAATCTTTCTGAATGCAATTAAATATACACATTTGTTTTCAACATTTCTCTCTCTAATAGCTGTTTGCTCGAGTGGAGAATGGTGAAGAGCTGTCTTTGTTTGAGAGCGGTGGCCGCCGCACGCCTCAGAAACAGGAGACGCACACGCTGGAGGCTGTCAAACTTGTGGAGTTCGATCTGAAACAGGCTCTCACGCGCCTCATGCGACACCTTTTTGGGGAAGGTAGGAATCCTGTGATGTTCGCACTTGTTTTTCCTCACTTCCTCTGTCCAGCTCTCCTCCATCTGTTTGTTTCTGTCTTGCAGATTTGGAGATCCGCTGGGTGGACTGCTACTTCCCTTTCACACATCCCTCCTTTGAGATGGAGGTGCGCTTCCAGGGAGACTGGTTGGAGGTGCTGGGCTGTGGGGTGATGGAGCAGGAATTGGTCTGCTCAGGTACACTCATACAAACAAACTCACACATAAAGCTGCCTGCTGTCTACATAAGCAATGACCGTTTGATGAGAGATGATACAGCAACCACCAATGGGAGTGCAGACAGGGCAGCTGTCATGAGCCGCCTGTGTTAAAGTTTAAGACAGCAATCGCATAGAAACGACCATTAGCAAACAACAGTCCGATGAGATGCCGACCTCCAGCGATTTAATTGCTGTCAGTGTAAACGTGCCATTAGGCAACATGCAGAATTACTGATCCCAAACATGAGCACAAGGGCCGACGTCGTGACTGAACATACTGCACAACGGTAGAAATTTAGCCGTCACGATAGATATATTTGCACGACTGTCTGTAGGCAAAACTGTTTTCAGTTATTTAAACATTTCCTCAATATTAAAAAAAAAATGCTTTGGTAAATCATAATTATGGCATAAAATGTCAAAACGATACTACGAAAACAGTCATAATCATGAAATTAAAAGTCCAAATTAAGAGATAAAAAAGGTCAAAGTGACATACTAAGTCATGATTTTTAATTCATAATGCCAAAATTTATATCATAATTATGAATTAGTATGTTACCTTTTTATTTAATAATTTTGACTTTATCTCATAATTTAATAACTTCCATTGATGTTTTTTTTATCTAATAATCATGCCGAAAAGTCAAAATACAAAATATAGGTTGATTTATGAGATTGATTTTTTTGTGTCATAATTGCATTATATAATAATTTCAAACTTTCTTAGCATCTCTTAATTTTTACTTTCCCTTACATTTCCATTTGACAAATTTTTGTCATAATTGACGTCATAATTTCTACTTTTTGTCAATTATCTTGTAATTTTGACTTAGTATCTCATATTTTTGTTTGATATAATTATGGCTTTTTATGAAAATGCATATAAAATAATTATGAATTACCAAAGCATTTTCCTTATGTAGCAAAAATGGGCTTCTGTACATATTGCAAAAATACAGACCCATGTCGCAAACAACCTGTGTTTAGAATTTAGAGGCTGAACTATTTGTCACAAAATGAGTTTTATTGATTTGGGTGAATAATCTTGTCTTTTGGTCTCCATTAAGTAAATTGATAAAAAGAGAAAGTAATGAAATCACATTAAGAACCTGTGATTGAATACTGCATGTATAATACTGATGCTCACCGTTGATTGCATCTGAGTCTGATATGCTTGTTGCTGAACAACCAATAATCAATCAAATACACTTATACATAGCATTTCCCTCGACTCCAGCCACCATCAGATGAGCTTGTCACAAGGCATTCTGGGCTTTCCATATCAGCAAAAGATGCATGAGATGCTGCCATTTAATTTTTTTCAAAATGAAATCCAAAATTTTAAAAGCAAATCCAAACAGCATAAATTTCCCTGCTTGCTGTTAGGAACAGCCTTTACATAGTGAGTGTGAGATGCCTAAAGATGAAGATGCTTAGAAGGTTTTCCAGCCGCTCTGTGCCTGGAGAGCATTGGCCACACCTTTGAGCCGGAGAGAATGCCGTTCTGCCTCTGCCAGTAGATGGCGGTGTTGTGCAGTGCTGTGTGAGGCAACCAGCCATCATAAAGTGAATGGGATAGTCCCACATGAGGAAGATCCAAGCGCTCCAGTAAAGGGGGAGGGGAAGGACACGCATGACTGCAGAGACATGGTTTTCCTCCCCGGGGATGGACCTGTATGACCGGCCCTCCCTCTCAACCAGCCCAGTCATCTCACTCCTCACTGCCACTTAATTCTTCAATCTCATCTGCTCTCTTCATCGATCCTGTCTGTGTTAAACAGCACAGCGTCCCCCGCCGTCTGCACCGCCGACATGTGGAACATGTAACGGCCAATTAACAACTGTGCCACTCAACGGCGAGTGATCGCTTTTTTCTCACTGCAATTTCACACTCTACATTTGACTTAATGTTTTGCCTGATATTTACAATTAAGGTCCATCTTTATTCTGAAAAGAAGTTTATGCATCCTCTATGCAAATCTGGCTTTTCTTTTTTCCATTTTTAACAATACATTTTTTTTATTTTTTATTTTGCACGGTAATTTACTAATAATTATAATTATTATAAATTGATCAAAAGTGACAGTAAAGACATTTATAATTTAACAAAATATTCATTTCAAATAAATGCTTCAAATTCTTTTGAACTTTCGATTCATCAAACAATCCTGAAAAAAAACATGGTTTCCACAAAAATATTAATCAGCACAACAGTTTTCAACATTGATGATAATAATAAATGTTTCTTGAGCATCAAATCAGCATATTAGAATGATTTCTGAAGGATCATGTGACACTGAAGACTGGAGTAATGATGCTGAAAATACAGCTTTATATTCACAGATATAAATTACATGTTACAATATATTCAACTTGAAAACAGCTATTTTAAATTGTAATAATATTTCACAATATTACTGTTTTACTACATTTTTGATAAAATAAATCCAGCCTTTGTGAACATAAGAGAATTCTTTCAAAAACATATTCAACCCCAACCCCAATCTTACCAACCCCAAATTTTGAACAGTAGTGTAGATAGATAATTATATATATATATATATCAATATTCAGATATAGATCAATATTCCATGACAGTGGATATTCGGAATAAGGTGTTTACATGACCCAAAATTCTGATTTATGCAGGCATATTTTGGATCTTTTATTCAGATTTCTTGTAATATGAATGTTGCTAAATGGGATTATTGCAGTTGGATTATGCATGCATAATCAACATAGGGCCAAATTCCAATTAACACTGGAGTATTCTCATTTATGTAAATGCAGTCGGTGTATTCAGTAGGTGGCATTTTGAATCCATCAATAATTGAAAGCTGAAGGCAAGTGCTTAAGAGCACCCGTCTCTCTCTCTCTCTCTCTCTCTCTCTCTCACTTTATTGTTCATTCTCCATTCTACCCTTCCCATCATCTCTCTCTTTGAAACCACTCACAGTCAAGCCCGTTCACAACTCTTCCGTTGTGCTGGAAGGCTACTGCTCCCCGGCAATGTTTTGGCAGCATGGAAAAATAGTGTTTCTTGTAAAGAGCTTTCTATTTATGGTCCTCACATCTTCGTACACAGTTTTTATCTTCTGTGTGGATGCAAAGAGGTCAGTCGGTGCGATTATAGACCGACTGAATGACCAAATTTAGTGCTTTACAGAGAGTTGTAAACCACTTTTTATGAAAATTTGAGTCTAGAATGATAATATAAAAATCGATTTCCACTCTCATGTTTATCGTCACAGCAAGGACACCTGTAATCCTGCTTTGATTGGATTTTAGTAGAAAGTTTGTGTCTTTCGCAGTGCTGTACCTGACAGGAGTACAGATTACTGACTGTGCGTCTCTCTTCCTGTAATGTCTGGTTGTACTCAATCACTGCTTTATCCCTGTGTACACCCACTCGAGTGGCAATGCACATTCACAACTGGGTAAACAAAGCCCTCGTGTCTCCAGACAGCTGTCAGCAGGCCTTGCTCCCCTCCTCAAGGCTTTGATGCTCAGACGAATCCCTGTGTACACCCACTCGAGTGGCAATGCATATTCACAACTGGGTAAACAAAGCCCTCGTGTCTCCAGACAGCTGTCAGCAGGCCTTGCTCCCCTCCTCAAGGCTTTGCTGCTCAGACGAATCTGCTCACAGGTGTCATTCTGGCGGCGTTTAGGCAAACCGTGCCTTCCTGTCTAGGTTACGGGGCTTGTTTAATCAAAGTTTTCAACGTAATGTAGAAGTGATTTTAATTAATTTCGACAAACCCACACAATTTGTGTCAAATAAAATGGCTTATCAACTAAATATCTGTCAGAAACTGCTGCTAGTGTCTAGTACTGTAGCCATAGATGATAGATGGTAATGGTACTATAGATGAACCATGGTAGTAACAGGTAGTTTTTGTTAGAGCTCAAAATTAAGACATATATAGTCAATTAGTAATGTCAGTTATTAAAGGGGTCATATGATGCGATTTCAAGTTTTCCTTTCTCTTTGGAGTGTTACAAGCTGATTGTGCATAGGCATTATACAGCGGCAAGATGAAAAGAAAAAATACCATCTAAACTTTTCTGAAGACAGTAAGTTTCCCTCAGACATACATTCATATAAATTCCTACCCCTAAATGAATCGCGATTTGTTTAGAATCTCAACCGATTTGAATCGTCACATATTTGAATCGATTTTCAACCGGCTCGCGGTTAATCGTTACATCCCACAACTAGATGTGTTTAAAGCTTTCAGAGTGTAAGTCTATCCACATTATGTACCATTTAGGTACCAATATGTACATTGTAGGTACAATTATGTACCTTTAAGGTACTAAAATGCACCTTACCTTTTTTTCTGAGAATACAGCATATTTAATGAGAATTAAAATGTAGGATTGGACCCAACTTTATCCACTAGGGTTGGATTAGATCATGAAAACTGGCCTTTGACAGGTGGTTGTAAGGGAGGGTTTGAAAGGTGCATAGAGACAAAGAAAAAAAAAAACGTTTCAGAGGTGAAATGAGTTACAACATTTTAATGAAAGATTAAAAACACAAACATATTTGGAATAAGATTGCAGTCCAATTGCATATGCATATCTCATTTACACTTGGCCATATAAATATGTCTCTGCAATACTGATATTAATTTGATCCCTTGTTCCCATGATATATGTACATATTAGCATCCGCGATGCCGCTAATGCTAACAGCGGAATTTTGTTCACTCTCTTAACCCCATATTGAAACTAATGTTAGAGTTGTGCTTACTTCATCCATGTCTTATCTGTGATTGCCCCCTTATGTGTGGTTTGGGGGAAAAGTTTACAAATGTTACCCGAACAACCAGGTGCATTTACATTTGGTCTAGCTGCATCTTCAGAAAGTAATTTGAGTGATTGAGTTACTATCGAATGCATATTGGAAGACGTTTACATTTGGTCTTTTCATTATTGGATTGTTATCAGAACAGTAAAATTGCAGCA